AAACATCTCAGCTGGTCTGCTGAGGAGGACTCTCAGATACTACCACTTCTGACTTGTTTTGGGGTGAAGACTGTCTTCATGTGAAATCCAGTTCCTGCAGCTTAACAGAATCACCGGCAGAGGGCGGCAGAGAGGAAACATCAAACCAGCAGAAAACGACTGTTTGGTTCTGATTTACATTGAAACAAAACATCTGGTTCCTGGAGAAATCTAACAGTCTGCTGAAGATCAGGTCAGGACACAGGTCCAGATGTCTTTACGTGTCCTCACGCAGGTCCAGATGTCTTTATGTGTCCTCACAAAGGTCCATATGTCTCTATGTGTCTTCACACAGGTCCAGATGTCTTTACGTGTCCTCACACAGGTCCAGATGTCTCTATGTGTCCTCACACAGGTCCAGATGTCTTTACATGTCCTCACACAGGTTCAGACATCTGTATGTGTCTTTCGACAGGTTCAGATGTCTCCTCGGGTCTTCCCACAGGTCCAGATGTCTCCTCGGGCCTTCACACAGGTCCAGATGTCTCCTCGGGCCTTCACACAGGTCCAGATGTCTCTATGGGTCTTTCCACAGGTCCATATGTCTCTATGGGTCTTCACACTGGTCCAAATGTCTCTGTGTCCTCACACAGGTTCAGATGTCTCTTCGGGCCTTCAGACAGGTCCAAATGTCTCTATGGGTCCTCACACAGGTTCAGCCATCTCTATTTGTCTTCCCACAGGTCCAAATGTCTCTATGGGTCCTCACACAGGTTCAGACATCTCTATTTGTCTTCCCACAGGTCCAGATGTCTCCTCGGTGTTAGGAGGTCTTGGTTCTGGGTCTTTTGTTGAGTAGAAAACGAGCTGAGCAGAGGCTCGAGGGTCACCAGGACCTGGATCAGGTCTTGAAGCTGCAGAAGAAGACGTTCTGGTCTGGCCCTGTAGAGCTAGGACTTGATGTGTTTCTGGTTGCTGTGTTCTGCTGGTCGGGTTCTGCTCTCAGATGAATACGGTTCTGCTCAGACTTGACCCGGTTTGGTTCTGTTTTCACATCTGTTCTGGTTCGTTCAGCCGCGGGTGTGAAGTGTTTTCAGGTGAAGCTGTTTCTGATCAGCAGGTTTGATCCTGATTGTTGTTCTCGCTTCACTTGCGTTCTTTCTGGGGAACCAGTCCGGTTCTTCCCACCATGATCGTGCAGCTCGTCTGTTTCTTCCATCTGTGGAAGATTCTGTCTCTGCAGGTTTTACAGCAGGAACTGGACTCTGCAGACCAGACAGAACTCGGGTCAGGATGACTTCATCACTATAACCTTTGACCCCGTCTCTCAGGGTGAAGGAGGGTCACAGCCTTTGAGTCGGGAGACACTTCAAACCAGACCTCAGGTTGGAGATGTGGACCCACAGGTCTGTTCTGGTCCTCTCATCTTCACTGAGTTATCAGGAGGGAAAGACTGGATCACTTCCTGTAAAACAGAAAAAAGCTGAAATGCCCTCACGTGGTTCTGAACTCTTCAGTTCAGTTTGGTCCAAAAGGCTTCTGGGATCAGGAAGTCACTTCCTTATTTGGCCTTCCTCATGGGCGGAGTCATCAGATGGTGTTTAAATCCTCCAGACTGATGATGAGTATAAATATTAGACTGAGAGGCCCAGAAGATCCTAATTCAAACCAAAACTCAAATTTATTCATGTATTTATTTAAAACTCAGGAGGAAAACTATTGAAAACAGAAGCTTTGTTAGACTTATAAATCATTTAAACCATTTAAAGAGCATTCTGTAACTTTCAGGCCTCGTGTTTCTCCGTCAGCTCTGAACAGAAGTTTTCCTGTTGGACAAAGACGTCCTCAGTGTTGGACTCAGCAGTTTCCTGTCTCACACGGACGACTTCCCCACAGACACGTTTTATTCCTGCAGGGACTCAAAAACACACGAAGCAGCACTTTTTACATTTCCAACGCATTTCGGTGTCTCAGCAACTTTTAGTTGAGAACAAACGGGGAGCGTTGAGGTGAGAAAGGATTTTACAGATCACGGTACCAGAACCAGACCCTGGTCCTCAGGGTCTGAGTAAAAACAAGAAATAAAAACAGAAACAAGAACACGTTCAAAACCAAACCGCAGAAACAGGAAGTGACAAACTAAACCAATCCTGCAGGAGGTCCAGGAGCTGCTGATGAACTGATCCTACCTGTTAGCACAATGTCAAGATGGAAAGACAGCAGCAATGACCTCAGAGAAGCAGCTTTGCTGCTCATCAATCTGTGAAGGGTCAAAGGTCATCTACAGTCCCTCCATCAGAGACAGATTCTTTACAAGAAGAAAACATTTCAGACAGCGGATTCACCCTGAAGGTCAGACTGTGCAGTGAGCTCCATCTCAGACCCTGCAGTCCTCAAAGGTCGGACCTTCTTGCTGTTTAAGTTGATCTGTTTTATTCCCCGACAGCTTTTCTTGTATTTATTATTTTTCTTGCACCTGAAACTGTTTGAACTGAGTATTAAGTCTTTGTTCCTAATTTTCTTTTCTTTTAAGAGGTTCTGGTTTGGGAGACCTCTCTCTGAACCCACCGCCCTCACTTACAGGAGTCATGTGGCTGGGGGGGGGGGGGGGGGGGTGAACTCTGTCTGAACTGCAGCTGGATGATTTGTGGTCACAATAATTGCAGCCGTCTCACTGAAAGATCGTCCAGAACCCACGAAGAACCCTCTGAGAACCACAGAGATGTCTTTTCCCGGACTTCAGGGTCTATCTGCAGACGGATCAGGCTGGATCCTGGTGGACACACGGGCCTGAGGTCTCTGCAGACTCAGACCCGTCCAGAGCTCAGAGGGTCCTGAAGGATGGGAATCTTCTGGTCCGACCCGGCAGCAGAACAGAACACAGACCCGCTCAGACTGAAAACCACATTTATTGAAGCATTAAAGTGTTAAAACATGACGAAGAGTTCCAGCTGAACGGTGGACCGGTTACAGAACCGAGCAGCTAGAACCCAAATCAAGAGAAGCCAGCGAGAACGGATCAGATCAGCAGAGAGGAGTCATCACCTTTAAAAACACAAACTCCTGAAGAGTTTCTGTCAACTTCAACCTGAACACATCAGATTAAACCGACACAGACATTCAGCATCCGTCCTAAAGACAGAGAGATGGGTCCGACTGGTACCGGTACCATCCCAGGACCACAAACATTCAGATCACCTCAACAAAAAGTTTGAACTTATCTCAACAAAAGAGTTCATTTAGTCTCAAACTTCAGGAAACTTTAGGCGGTTTTTTTTTTGTTTTGTTTATGTGTGGAAAAAATCTCACCAAATCATGGTTCTGTTAATTTCCACTCGGACCGGTCCGTTCCGGGTTTCCTGTAAATATATTAGATTTTAAATAAAATAACGAAGAATAACAAACATGTAAAACAAACGAGAGCAAAAAGGCTCCTTTAATAATGAATACAAACAAACATCAGATTATATTAAATCTGTACAATGATGGTTTCGATTAAATAAAAAAATTAAATTCTGGGACCGGACCAGAACCGTGGAGCTCCTGCAGATGAGATTGGGTCAGGTTTTAATTAATACTGATAAGGAAGTCCTGATCGAGACTTTTCTGTCCCTGGTGAAACTGAGGCTCGGTACCAGCTGAGTACTTGCATCATTCAGCAGCAGATTACAAACAGCTGAGTAGATTAACGTGCTGATGACATCATGTCTCTACATCACAGTCGAGACAACCTGAGTTCCTTAAGTTGGTTTAATTAAGAAGATTCCAGGTGATTGGAAACGTTTCAGCCCAGGTGGGCCTGAACTGGTCAGAGCTGGGGGGGCAGACAGTGATGGGTTGGTGTAATCCTTCCTCCTCGCCTCGGTACCGTGGAAACTTGTCTAATCTGTGAAGAGTTTCCTCTGAGGTGGGCTGCGCAGCCGGGTCAGCTCCAGTCAGCTCAGCTGTTTGGATTTTAAACATTTATTTAAATCTGTGAGAAAAAAAAAAAAAAAAAAAACTGCAAAAGTTGAACAGCTCTCATTTTAAAATACTTCCAGACCGCAACCATGTTACACCCGGTTACATCGTAACGCCTCAGAGAGCAGTTTACAAAAACACGACAACAAAAACCAGGAGCTGCGTCGATCAATGAATATTACCGTCAATTAAACCCAGATCTGATGCTTCTGATCAGATCAGGAAAGCCCGAGTTCATCCATGTGTTGGTTCAGAGAAATAAGGCAAATAAAAAATGTTTTCATTTTTACATTTGTTATTATAAAAAGTACAATCAGAAGTTTAGGATCAGGGGCTGGGCTTGTCGAAGTGCAGGGTTGATCAGATTATTTAATCTGTGAGTCTTCCAGAGATTAAAGTGCAGATTTAAAATGTCTGCAGGGCAGGAACCAGCCGCAGGTTTCTGATGGGAACAGAAGTTTTCCTGTTGGACTGTTGGACAAAGACGTCCTCAGTGTTGGACTCAGCAGTTTCCTGTTTCACATGGACGACTTCCCCACAGACACGTTTTATTCCTGCAGGGACTCAAAAACACACGAAGCAGCACTTTTTACATTTCCAACACGCTTCAGTGTCTCAGCGTCTTTTTGTTCAGACAAACGAGGAGCGTTGAGGTGAAAAAGAATTTTACACATCAATGTGCTAGAACTGGACCCATGAGTCAAACAGGATGCAAATCTTTACAGAACCACCTAGTTCAATGTCTGTAAAGGTTCAGGTTTGGAACTGTAGCTGGGTCTGTAAAGATTCAGGTTTGGAACTGTAGTTGGGTCTTTAAAGGTTCAGGTTTGGAA